TTCTATTTAAAAGGTAATTTGCAAATTCAGTGTCTTGAAACCAGTGCTACAGGCCCAGTGCCAAGTAGAAGGCATAGTTCCGTCCTTCCATAGTAACAGAATTCCCAGGAAAAAAAACATTATCAATTGTTTCAGTTTATGGGATTATCCAGGCCCACGATGCTTCAGAAGAAATTGCTGGGACAGTGTGGAGGCTTTGAAGTTACTATTAAGTAACACCAGCATCTGTGTAGCATTTACCATCCTTTTGCCCTATAACGCCTCCTCCTTAGACCAGCCTGCCTGTCCCACAGCCCGGCAAGCAGAGCACAAGCTGGGTGGTCAGTCTTCCCGGGTGCTGTGTGCCTGCTCTGGCTCCCTGGCTCTGTCACCTTGGTGTCCTCTTCTGCAAAGTGAAGATCAGTACCCACTCTGTTTTATGGTAAATGAGGAAACACATAAAGCCCAGTGGCTGCTCACAGTAACGACTCAATAAATGTGAGCTGTTATTTGTCATCGCAGGCAAGAGTGGGAGCCGTAGAGGCTGAACAGGGACCATTGTTCCACACTGGCAGTGTAGAAAGTGCCGTGCACAGTGCTCCAGAAGTTCAGAGGAAACAGAGGTGGGACAAGCAGAGATAGCTCCTGCCCCTTCCCCTGCCATCACACTTGGCATGACCCGTGGCCTCTACGCCCTCCAGATCCTTCCCCAGCCTTCCTTTTCCTTCCTCCTCATTAAGTACTGCCGGGCTCGATGATACATTTGATTAGCTTCTTCGTGTGCTTTCAGGTTTATTATCTCATTTGATCCATTTTTTTTAAGTTTATTTATTTGGGGAGAGAGAGCACAAGCAGGGGAAGGGGCAGAGAGAGAGGGAGAGAGAGGATTCCAAGCAGGCTCTGTTCTGTCAATGCAGAGCCCAACGCGGGGCTCAATCTCATGAACCGTGAGATCATGACCTGAGCCGAAATCAAGAGTCAGATGCCTAACTGACTGAGCCACCCAGGCTCCCCACATTTGATCCTTTCAAGAGTGAGGGAAAGTACTCTATTTTTCAGGTGAGGAAACAGGTCTGGGGAGGGTAGATTACTTTCCACATGTTGAGCCTGGAAAGCCCAGGTGGTCTTGTCATTGCCCACTCACGTAATAGACTGAGTTATTTTTCAATCCCTACCCACCCCCATTCCAGAGGTAGGTGATTAAAGTGGCACTAACCCTGCTTTCACTAAAGTACAGGTCTCTTGATACCACAGTGCTGCTCCCTCGCCAGATGGAATATTTCCCAACCCACCTCTTTCTTAAAACCCTGTTCTGAAGTGTGTTTCCCAGCACCACCAAGCAGTTGACTCAATTTCAACACTGTCTCCCTAGAGGTAGCATCAGACCGCACAGGTTAAGGGCTCAATCCCACAAGACCGCCCCCACTTCAGACACCAGTCCCAAGTCCATGTTGTCGCCTATGCTTCTGCCCAACTGGCTCTTAATCAGTGGTTCCTACGACCCCCTTCTCGGGTTCATTTAATTTGCTAGAGCCGCTCACAGAATTCAGAGAAAGAGTTTACTTACTTGATTACCATTTCGTTTTAAAAGGGTAGAACTCAGGAACACGCAGATGGAAGAAATGCTGAGAATGAGGTATGGGGACGTGGCGTGGAGCCCCCATAACCTGTCCGGGGGGCACCACCCTCCCTGAAGCTCTACGAGTTCACCACCCTGAAGCTGTCTCAGCCCTGTGATTCGGTCTATAGGCATGACTGGTGAAACCATTGGCCACTGGTGATTGAACTCCATCTCTAGCCCCTCCCTTCCCCAGAAGTTGGGGGCAGGACTGAAAGTTCAGACCTTCTGATGAGCTGGTTGGTTCCCCTTGGAACTAGCCCCCCATCCTTAGTGTACCAGGGACCTTCCCAAAGTCACCTCATTAACATAAATTCTGGTGTGGTTGAAAGGGACTCATTATGAATAACAAGACATTCCTTTTACCTTACTGGCTCTGGAGCTATTTCGGGAACCAGTGACAAAAGACCAAATACTACTGGTCTTATTATGTTGGGGAATTCCCAGGGTGTTATAAACTCTGTGCCAGAAACAGGACAAAGACCAAATACATAGTCTTATCATAAATCACAATATCACACGTGTGGTGGGCCTTCTTCCCTGATGGAAAGGACTTTAGATTGCAAGCTAAGAAATCTGACTTGGTCTCAGCCCCACCCCCTCAGGTGTTTGAGCTGATGTCTTCCCTCAAGGCTTCTTTGTCTTTACAAGGAAGGTACTGGCCTAAACCTGGGAGTTTGTTTTTCTAGGACATAAATGTCCGGTGACATTTCCTTGTAGGCTTTCTTGTTGGGTGGCCTACTTCCCACTACCTTAGCTGTAACTCGACTCCCGCTCCTGCATTCTGGGAATCGTGTTGGGATGAGGGGTGATTGATGCTATTATAGTGATAACCATGAATCTGTTCTAGTGTATCAGAAAAGTGAGTAATGTGAAGTGTAAGGCCTTTTATCAGTAGCAACAGTTCGCTTGAGCACCTCCTAGTGACTGTATCAGGGCCTGGCGTTGGAGGAGCGGGTCCAGAGCACGTCCACCCTGGCATGCCAGCGTGGAGCCCTCAGCCTGTAGACAGTGTGCCAACGTAGCCAGTTTAAACTAGAAAAGTCCTGTAGTCACCAAGTCGTAAAACCTTGGTCTTTCAAGTCAGAAAAAAAAGATGAAGGAATCTCTGAAGAAAATAAGACAATCTCCCAATGGTTGGTCATTCTGTGGGATGTTACTTAATACTAACTTCTTTGCAGGGCCCGGGCCTGAGGGCAGATCCAAGGATGCAGAGAGACTTAGGTTAGAGGTGAAGACATCCTTGTCCTACAAGACTCAAGTGCATTACTCCCTTGTCCACCACATATGCCACACTGGGTCTGTAGATTTCTAACCGGAGTTAGAAAAGAATCAGCCTGACACATCTGAGATCTGGTTTTGGCTGAAAATTTAGAATGGACCCTCTCTCACCATGTTTCTTTACAGTCTTCTGGTTTTGTTATTAATAGATTCATAACCACCCAGAGATCAGAAAATACAGCCCTTGGATTGATAGCATTTGCAAGACTTTTAGTTGTTTTTTTTTTTTTAATTTATTTAGTGTGTGTGTGTGTGTGTGTGTGTGTGTGTGAGAGAGAGAGAGAGAGAGAGAGAGAGAGAGAGAGAGAGAGCCCCAAGCAATCTCCACGCTGTCATTGCAGAGCCCAGTGAGTGGCTCAAGTTCCCCAACTGCAAGATCATGACCTGAGCAGAAACCAAGAGTCAGACGCTTAGCTGACTGAGCCACCCTGGCACCCCACCAGACATTTTAGCTGAGACACAGGATGCTAACGATCTTTGAGGGAAAAGGTTGGGGGAATGGGGACTGTGCCATGGAGTGAGGTCCACTTTGTCTGTCCTTAACCGGACCCTGGATTTTCTGTCTGGTCCTATAGATCATTGTCACTGAAAAGAGGAGGGTTTGGAGAAGACTTTAAGCAAAGTATTTGTGCCTTACACGGGAACACGGGAGCTGGCTTGCTTCCTGTCTCAGCACCAGCAGCTGTCAAAGTGCAGGGCTTTCCATACAGAATGAAAAAGGCCCTGGGAGAGACACTGTCCGGGAGGGAGCAGCTGACAGTCAGTACAAGCCCTCAGCCTCTTATCTATTTGAGAAGAAATTGTTGCTGCCTGATATTACCAGCATCCCATGAAACTGTGCATGGAACACTTCAACTAAAAGTTTAACAGGAGAGTCAAACCTTGACAACAGTATTTAGATGTGCCATCACGGACCTAAGATGTCCAAGCTGCACGGGTAGGAATTGTGGTCATAAAAGAGAGAGGCTGTGACGTATGAAATTTGATGTGGACAAATAAGTAATAACTTGCTGATGGTCTTAGATCTTCCTGGTAGAAAAGAAAAGAAATGATCACTTGAAAATAATTTCAATAAAAATTAAAGTGGGGGAAATTGGAGATCGTTTATCTTTAAAAAGTTGTTCAGGGGTGCCTGGGTGGCTCAGTCGGTTAAGCATCCGACTTCGGCTCAGGTCATGATCTCACGGTTTGTGGGTTCGAGCCCCGCATCGGGCTCTGTGCTGATAGCTCAGAGCCTGGAGCCTGTTTCGGATTCTGTGTCTCCTTCTCTCTCTGCCCCTCCCCCACTCACGCTCTGTCTCCTCTGTCTCAAAAATAAATAAACATTTAAAAAAAAATTTTTTAAGTTGTTTATAAAAAAATAACTCAAGGGACTATGTTTGATTCATGGAGTGCAGCTCAGAAGATTCTCAACCAAAATCTCCAATAATTGGGCACAGTTCTGGTAAAACTCCTTGGCTGTCTAAGCAGTCCAGACTTCCTTGGGAGGGGGACGGCAGGGTCATGACGCCCTGTGTTTGCCTGGTGTAGTGGAACAGCTGTTCCTGTCAGTGGCATATGGCCAAGGCGTGCGTGGCATTTGGGAGGGCTCCAGAGGGCCACCCTGCTGCTCCACACTCTCAGGGGACAGCTGCCTGAGCTGCAGGGAGGCAAGGTGCCACCTGGTTATGGGTGGTCGAGGAGGTACGGCTCTATGCCTTCCTCCCACAGGTGATCAGCCGTGTGGTTTGGAGCTAGTGAGGAGGAAGGGTATTAAACACTTTGTTACTCAGAGACTGATTATTTGTTTGCCTGGATTTTATTCCTCCCTATCACTGCTGCCCACTAGAGCCCCTGGGGAAAGGATCTAAATGGAGAATAAAACTCAAACCAGCTGCCAGTGACTTCTGATAAGCTTCACCGATGGGCCTGTCGCAGGGAGAGCACTGGCGAAACAGGGGGATTTGGGAGCTGTGATAAATAGCAATTAATGAAAGAGAAATCGGGTCTAGGGTGTATCCAGATTGTAATTCTCCATGTTGACTCTGACCCCCACATGACTGTAGCCATCTGCGGTTTCTGTGTTTATTGTGGACGTGCTTGGTTTGGAGGAGACATTTCACACCGTTTTCCTGTCTTTCAGGTTTCAAGTGCCCCATTTGTTCCAAGTCTGTGGCTTCTGATGAGATGGAAATGCACTTTATAATGTGTCTGAGCAAACCTCGCCTCTCCTACAATGGTAAGGGCTTGGCCGGGGGCGGGGGAGTCTCCAACTGAGGGTCTTCCCGAGTTCGAGTGGTTCTGGGCAACATTTGCACCCCCCTTTCTGGCGGGAATGCCTGCGTGATGTTGAGGAATCCGACTTTTGAAGGTGTCTCGGTGCACCAGCTGGAGAGGCAGCCGAGTGGAGCAGGAAGGCGGCCCAGGGGTCAGGCCCGTGGCACCCAGAAGTCTCTTGGGTGCCCAGGCCTTCTGCCCCCTTAGTTCCTTGCACCTCAGGTTGGGAGATGCGGCCTTTGCCCATTTACACACCTGAGGGCAGAGGGCCTGGAGGGGACACCACCTCTCCTTGGGGAAGGGGACATCTGTGCTGCTGGTGTGCACAGAGTGCTTTAAGCCTTGGCGTCCACAGCAGAATACATTCACCAAGTGGACACCCTTCAGGGATTCAAAATGTTGACCTGCCACCTGGTCGCTCCACCAAGGCCCCACTGCTTCCTGCTTCAGAGCCGAGCAGTGAATACAACAGGTAGAATCGCCAGGCCAGGCCATTCCTAATGTGGTGCCTCTGTGGACAGTGAGCATCAGCGTCTGCCTCCATCACTGACTGACTGGACAGTCTGAGAGGCAAGAGCTTAGCAGAGGTTTAGTTTCCAGGTCCATGAAATGGAGCTGTCAGTAACCTGGCTGTGAGGATTTTGTCAGAACAAAGTAAGATATTCACACCTAAAACCCGTCAATACAGAGCCTGACCCATGGTCAGTGCTCAGGAAGTTACAGCTGGCATTGATCAGAGACAGTCACCCTCAAAGATGTGAGCCCATCCATGGGTTGGTTGCCTTTCATTTTCCAGAGTGGACTGATCTCTGTGTAGTGCTGGGTGCTGTGGGATTCCACCCTGTGTTCACTCTCGTGTGCTTAGTCCGGTCCTCAAACCGTGTTCATCAGAGAACTGCGCCTTCTGCAAGGCACTAGATCTGAGGGGGGTGTGCTCCGGCCCCGTCACGGGGCTACTTCTGGGGTTAAAGTCATAGCGGTGCTCGGGACAAGTTCCGTGATTTCTCAGAGCCTGTGGACTGGATGGGAGGTGAGCCTCTGATCGCTTGAACCCCCTCCTGACGATGAAGGTTTCCTGAGTAGATTCTCCTTACAGAGCGGTCCTTGGGCTCCTGCCTCCACACAGCATTAGCCCAGGAGGCCTGATGATTCCAGATTGTTCCCTCGAGGTAAATCTGATAAATCTGACATTCGTTCTCCTATAAACACACCCTACTATTCTCTTATCTCTGATTTACTTGCTCAGCAGAAAGATCTTGAGTACATGTGGGCAGGCCGGTTATCTGCTTGTCTCCACGACACTCAGTCTGGTCGTATTTGCTCAGGTCAGAGGACCAGCCGCAGGGAACGTCGTGGCCCCACCTCTGCCCCCAGCAATTCCTTCCTTCATCTGCTACCTGGTGCCCAGGAAGCCCTTCTTCTTCCCTATGGACAGCCTCTCACTGTCCCTAGACACTGACCGCTGCCACATCTCTGAAACTTGTCATGTGAGCTCTGGGCTTCCTGTCAGACTCATCAGCATACGTTCCTTAAAGGATGTTCCAGCTCTACTTTGTCATGTTCCTCGTCTCTGCCTGGGACCATGGAGGGAGCCAAGTCTTCTCCCGTGGCCCACAGCCCTCCCCAGTCATGGCCCAGTAACTGTGTTCACTTATTCTCCACATGTGCAGAGCCCTCATGAAGACCGCTTTTTGTCCTGTGGGTTGCTGGGGAGAGTTCTCTGTAGACACTGCCTTGCTGTCATAAGAACACAAAGCAGCCTCAGAGTGGGTTCCACGCGAGAGGACTGGGCTCTTGATGTCATCAGGGAGAACTTTGCAAGGGTAGCTGTGGAGGACAGAGTGCTCTTGGGGCCACCTGAGTGAGAAGTACCCACATGCCCCATTAGGAGAACAGGAAAGGCGAGAGACTTGTAAGTGCCTGGTGCTGCCTGGAGCTCTCCTCCTTGCCCACAGCAACAGGGAAGGGGCCCTTGTCCCTCTCCCCTCACTTCCACAGGAGAGCCAGCTTGGCAGCCCAGCCTGAGCACAAGCCACCCGCAGAAGCCACACTCAGAGTCAGAGTCCCCTTAGAAGAAGAGGAAGTTGACCAACCAGCGTGAGACCCAACTACAGCTGTTCTCAGTTCTGTTCCATTTTCCACTCCTCCTCTAATTGAAAGGCTGCCTCTTCAGGATGTGAGTGTGTGTGTGTGTGTGTGTGTGTGTGTGTGTGTG